ATCCCTATATAGGATCCGAACCCGCAGCGGGAGCGCTGCTGCGCTCCCAGCGCCACACTCTACCGAGTGCGCCACGGGCTCGGCCCATATGTGAATATTTTGATAGAGTAAATTTGTAGAAGTAGANAGTGCGCCACGGGCTCGGCCCATATGTGAATATTTTGATAGAGTAAATTTGTAGAAGTAGAATTGCTGGAATATAAGCATTTAAATTTTGATAGATGTTGCAAATTGCTTTCCAATGAGTTGTGTCAGTTTACATTCCCACTACCAAGTGTATGAGAGTGACTCTTCCCTTTGTACCTGTCTTAGACAAAATTATAAAACATTTAAGATTTTTCCTGGTCTTATGAAGTAAAAGTGGTATCTCATGTAGTTTTAATTTGACTTATTTATCTTATGATAAGTATGGTTGAGCATATAATGATTTTTAATGTTCTTTATTTTAACTTCGTTTTTAAAATAAAGATTACAGATGCTCTTCAACTTATGATGGGGTTATACCCCAATAAACCCATCGCAAGTTGAAAATATTTTAGGTAGAGAATGCATTTAACACACCTAACCTGCCAAACATCATACTTAGTAAGTGTTGGATATCTCATGTAATGTATTTAATACTATACTGAAAGTGAAAAATAGAAAGGTTATGTGGTTACTCGAATTACAGTTTCTACTGAATGTGTATCACTTTTGCACCATCTTAAAGTCAGAAAATCATAAATCGAACCATTGTTAGGTCTGGCATTGTCTGTATATTATCAGTGATACAAACGTGAAAGGGTACGGTGAAGGTATATAATGAAAGTAAGTCTAAACTCAAGCCACCTAATCTCTCCTAAGAGGCAGCTACAATTGACTTCCTTGAATATCTCTCTAGAGATATTCTTCATCTGTATAAAACCATGTGTGTTAAAAATATTGTAATGCTCTGCTATGTTGTTTGTAAAAACGAAAGGAACTTTTAAATATCTGTAAATACAAGACACTCTAAAATACATCGTGTGACCATTACAATAGAATACTATTTAGCCATGAAAAAGAATGAAATATATCTATGTATGTCAATTTGGATTGATCTGTAAGATTCATTACATAATAAAAGAAGGGTGCAGAACCATGTGTGTAACTCCCAATGTGTTTATATACATTAATCATATATATGAGAACATGTCAAAAAGTTTATGGAAAAATAGAATAAGAAGATAATCCAAATCTTTTCACAAACTTTTTGAAGTACCTTTGTATTGTTGTATGTGTATAGAAAATTTCTGGACCAACAGATGAGAGACTTGGCAGTGGTTGCTTCTGAGAAGGAAAATTCAGGGTTTGGGATGGTAGAGGGACCTATTTTTCATTGTATATACTTTTATACTACTAGAATTTTTTTTACCATGTGCACACTTTTTTCAGTTAATAAAAACTAGTTTTAAAAAAAGAACATCCATATTGTAATATAAAACATTTTTTTTGTAATTGTAAAACAAATATTTGTTCTTTATAGACACTGGAAAATAAAGAATGACACTAGAAAAATATTCATAATTCCATAATCAAGAGAAAACACTAGTTAACATTTTGATATATTTCCTTCTAAATCTTTCTCTGTTGTATATGTGTATTATGTATACACAAATATAGACATATATTAAGGAAAATGAGAATGTTGTATTTTAAAATGTCATACTACACATTTCTAATTTGTATAAAATTTTCGTTTT